GTAGATATTTGAGAATCGCCAGACAGAATTAAAAAAAAGTAAGACTCTTCTCTCGACCGTACTGACAAATATTATTTATTAAATCACAACGTTTCGACCCTTTTGAGTCCTTATCAAATGATCTATAATAGATATACATAGAGAAGAAATACAATACAGAGATTAATACAATAAAAAAATTACTTCACTTAACAATATTACAAAATAATAAAAAGAAGCGAAACATACTTGTGAAAATAAAAATAAAATTATAATTTTAAGATGTCAAAAACAAACATAGTGTCGGTGACTTGTTCAAAAACATTGAGAATTCTAAGCGGTTAGTGAACATTAGTGGTAAAACTATTCCGGATAAGGTATCTGATTTTTTAAGCTTGGGCGACAAATTTGGTTTGCCGATAGATCACGCAAATAGTAAAGATCGAATTAATATCGTCCTAGATAACATAAAGAATCTAGAAATTAATCACAAGAACATTCCGAGTGATTTACTAGAAACCACCAGAATTTCAGTAGCTGATTCTCTCAAAAAATTTTTATGTAAAAATAAACACATTTCTTCTTCTCTGACAGACACATCTTACAAGATTTTTTGCTCTGTAAAAAATTTCTACGTGATAATAAAGATATTTTTGTCACCAAAGCTGATAAGGGTCAGATCACCGTAGTAATGAGTAAAAATGATTATTTGGAAAAAATGGAATCGTTATTGAATGATGAATCCACTTACAAAAACTAAAAAAAAATCCTATCAAACAACTAACTATAAAGACTAACGTCTTAATAAAATCTTGGCGAGATAACGATTTGATTGACGACTCTACGTATAAGTCATTAAATATCACTAATTTACCACGTTGTTATAGTCTGCCAAAGGTTCATAAAAAAGAACTTTTTCTACGCATCATTGTATCTTCATTAGGTAGTCCAGTATATAATATTGTTAAATATATTTATAATATTTTACATAGTTCTAATTTGTTACCGAAATCTTACGTTAAGGATGGCTGTTCCGCGTTTTCCGCAAATTTAAAAGATAAAATTATTGACGACAATAATACTTTGATTTCTTTAGATGTGACCGCTCTATACACTAATATTCCAAAAGAATTGGTTTTACGCGCTATTGAGAAACAATAGAGTGACATTTCTCAAAATACGAATTTTAGTCTTGCTCAGTTCTTATATGCCGTCGAATTTATTCTAGATTCTACTAGTTTTAGCTTTAATGAACAATATTACGAACAAATCTTTGGTAGTCCCATGGGATCTCCTCTCTCACCTATCTTGGCAGACATGGTGATAGATGATCTTGAAACACATTGTTTAAGTCAACTTAGTTTCAATGTTCCGACTTATTATAGATATGTTGACGATATTTTCGCTATTATTCCAAAGACCAAAATCCACGAAATAATTAATACCTTTAATAATTATCACCACCATTTAACCTTTACATATGAGACGGAATCAGACATGATGTATTAATTTTTTGAATACAACGATCTCTCGGTCAAATGGAAAGCTTGTAACAAATTGGTACAGAAAGAACACGTGTTCGAACAGTGTTCGAAAGCGAACGGATAAAGAAAGCTGAACGGAAGGGCATTAATATATTACATTCAAATTCATGCAATATAAGCATGCAGCATGCACATAACTAACATTACTTATATAAAACCTTAAATTGTAACAGGCAGATTTTAATATTATTTAAATCGCGCTCGGCCGCACAAGTATACATATACCTCGCGCCTGCGAAAAAGAAGCGCTTGCGTTAACTTTCATTTAAATCGTAAATACCGCGGTCGCGCGAGAGGAGAGAAAACCAAGTGCCAATAACAACAAAATAAGACTTGCTAAAAGGTAAATAATTATCGTAAACGTACTTTCGCCCTTAACATCTCGATCGAACAAGGAAAAATGTTCGCGAAGGTTCTCGAAATACGGGCCTATATAAACCTCCTCTCTCGTGACCGCGGTGCTTCTTTTCCGATTGCTCGTCGCAAACAGAGTGTGCTTATACAAAAGGAATCGCTTGTTCTTTCTCGTACTCTATTTCCGTTGCTTGCGGACACTCAGTACTTTATATTCGACACTGCTATTCTCTCAATTACAGTTCAATCGGCAACTCTAAACTCGGCTAATTCTCTTGATTAATCTCTGTGCGGTTTATTAAATTGTATTTATTGTTAGTGTAAATATAATAATTTTGTCGAACAATACGCGTGTGTCTAGTGCCGTGCTTCGTTGCCTTCTCGCTTTCGACCGTCCTTTCCTGCTTTCCGTCGCGCACAATTTTTGGTCCTTCGAGCCGGATTTATCCGGAATTTCCTGTCAATCCGGTGCCACGGAAGCGATCGTGATTAAGTGTCGGTGACCAGTGCTTCTGGAAAAGAGAGACAGTGTGAGAGATGGCAGAAACAAAGGCGATCATTGCCACCGCCACGATACTATACGGCAAGATCTCGCGCGCGTACGACAACTTGCGGAAGCTCGGCGAGGCCAACATCACCCTCGGCGCAGTGGAGGCCCGGCTTCAAAACCTCGAGAAGCTGTGGGAAAAGTTCGACGCGATTAACGATACGCTAGCCGATCGTGTGGAAGAAATAAAACATGATGTCTACGCCAAGCAAGACATCCCGTCATTAGGTGAGGAGGCTTACCTGCAGAATAAGGGCCTCATGCTCGACTTGAAGAGCGCTCTCCAGCTGCAGCTGCAGGCAGCCAGCTCTACCTCGGCCGCGCCAACGACCTCCGCTCCTCGGACAGCGCTGCCAAAAATCCAGCCACCGACCTTCGCCGGGAAGTACGAAGACTGGCCGTCCTTCCGAGACCTTTTTCAATCCATCATCGGCAGGAACCAGGCAGCCAGACCTGTTGAAAAACTGCATTACCTCAAGCTCTGTGTAAAGGGTGATGCGGAACTATTAATACGCAATTTGAGTACGACGGATGAAAATTACGAGATCGCCTGGAAGACGTTGAGCGATTTCTACGAGAACAAGAGGTTGTTAACTCGTATCTACCTCAACAACTTTCTGGCTCTTACTAAAATGAAGAGCGAATCCGCAGCTGAGCTAGGGCGACTCTTCCACGGCGTAAAAACAACCGTAAGTTCGCTGAAGGACATCGATCGTCCCATCGACCGCACGGAGGACCTCTTTGTTCACCTTGTAGTTGAGCTTCTCGATAATCGTTCGCGTCGCGAATGGGAGAGCGTCATCAGCCACACCACCAACCCGCCTACCTACGCCAAATTGGAAGGATTCATAGAGCGACGGCTGCATACCTTAGAGGCTCTGTTTCCTGTGAAGAACGACAGCCGCAGCAGCAGCAATACCAAAGCAACACGAAGTCATCACGTAAAGAAAACTGAGCCGAAGGACAGGTCCAGAAGTCGGTGCGCCGGTTGCCAGGGGGACCACTTTATAATGTTTTGCAGCAGCTATAAAGAGAAGACGGCTACAGCGCGCAGACAGTTTGTAAGCGAACAGAACCTCTGTTCTAACTGCCTGGGACGCCACCAGCTGACTGAGTGCGCGTCAAAAAAGACCTGTATGACGTGTGGCAGTCGGCACCACTCTTCGCTGCACGACGCCTTTAGCGACGCCGAGACCGCTACGACATCACACGTGGCTCAAGGACAGCCCTTCGCCTCTGTCACGGTGCTGCTCGCCACTGCTCGAGTCCGCGTCCTCGATCGTCACGGATCATGGCATCCCGCCCGAGCTCTGATCGACCAAGGCTCAGAGACGACCATAATTTCGGAGCGGTTGGTTCAGCGACTGCGACTGCCTCGCACGTCTGCCGCCGTCAGCGTCTATGGACTCGGCGAAAAAAAGACGGGAATTGCCAAGGGCAAGGTCAAGCTCACCTTTCGAGCGCTCAACGGTGAGCCGTCCAACTCCGTCTCCGCCTTGATTTTGCCGAAGCTGACTCTATTCTCCGGAGGATGCCGCCGAAGCCTGCAATCCTGGACACATCTCAGAGACCTGGAGCTCGCCGATCCAGAATTCCATTCCGCTGATCCAGTAGACCTTCTGCTGAGCGCCGACGTCTACGGAGTAATCATCCGCCAGGGTCTGGAAAAGGGAGGTCCTCAGGAACCGGTGGCACAGCAAACTTCGCTAGGCTGGATACTCTCAGGAGCCATCAACGAGAATACACGCTGCCAACGTATGTCCTCCCACCATTGCCAAGTGGAGGAAGACCTCACCTGTTTGGTACGTCGCTTTTGGGAGCAGGAAAAGGTTCGACAGCCGTCTCAGCTCTTCACCAAGGTCGAGCGGGAGTGCGAAGAGCACTATCGTCAGTATCATACACGCAACGCCGACGGCCGGTACGTCGTGCGCCTGCCCACGACGGAATCTCTGCCGGATCTCTCTGGAACAATCCGCGCCGCCCGCCGGGCTCTGCAACATACAGAGAAGAAGTTTGATCGAGAGAGCGAGTTCAGAGGCATGTATGTCAAATTCATGCAACAGTACTTAGACCTGCGCCACATGATGCCTGCTCCGCTTTCGACTACCACGCGTCCTGGAGCTTGCTATCTACCGCATCACGGGGTCCTGCGTCCTGACAGCACCTCCACAAAACTGAGGGTAGTCTTCAACGGCTCGAGCTCCTTGCCAAACGGAGACTCCCTCAACAGATATCTAGCAACGGGACCGAATCTGCTACCTTCTCTGGCCGACATCCTACTGAGTTGGCGACGCCATCGCTACGTCTTCGCGACTGACATCGAGAAGATGTACAGGCAGATCCTTGTGCACCCCGACGACCAAAGTCTGCAAAGGATATTATGGAGAGAGAGCAGCAACAACGAAGTCAAGGAGTACTGGCTAAGTACCGTTACTTACGGGCTTTCCTGTGCTCCTTATCTGGCGATCCGTACTTTGCGCCAACTTGCCGAGGATGAGGGACATCGCTACCCGAAGGGAGCTCTCATCCTGCTGAGCGACGTCTACATGGACGACATCCTGGCAGGCGCGGAGACCATGGAGGAAGCCGAGGTCATGATCCAACAGCTGATGGAGATCTGCAGGGCGGGCGGCTTCTCGCTTAAGAAATGGTCGGCAAACCATTCGCTGCTGCTGAACCAAGTGGAGCCCGACGACCGCCTTCGACAAGAGGCTAGATGGTGGCTGCCCGGCGAGAGTCACTCTACTCTCGGTCTAAGATGGCAACCACGTGACGATCGCTTCGCATTCGCTACCAAAGCGATCACACTATCGACCTTCAGCAAACGGTCGGTACTTTCGCTGACAGCAAAGATGTTCGACCCTCTTGGCTGGCTGGCACCAACAACGATATTAGCTAAAATCTTCATCCAGTCTATCTGGTTGCTAGGTCTGGATTGGGACGCTCCGCTACCTAGCGACGAAGCGAGAAGATGGTTGCGATTCCAGAGCGAGCTGCTAGCTCTGGAAAAAGTGATCGTACCTCGATGGCTGGGAGGTTTGACTGAATCAATGCTGGAAATCCACGGATTTGCCGATGCCTCCGAGCGTGCCTACTTCGCAGTGATCTACCTGAAGAGCAAAACAAAGGGCATTACTAAGGTGACTCTCTTAGCTGCCAAAACCAAGGTCGCGCCATTGAAGCAGGTATCATTACCTCGACTGGAGCTGTCTGCAGCGACTCTTCTGGCTCGTCTCGTCGCCCACACCTTGCCGATCATCGGAGCTGAAAGAGCACCTCTTTACATGTGGTCGGATTCCACAGTCACGCTCGGCTGGATCCGAGGACATCCATCGACGTGGGCCACCTATGTGGCCAACCGGGTCAGCGAGATACAAATGTTGATCCCTGATGCCCACTGGCATCACGTACCAGGACGAGAAAATCCAGCGGACTGTGCTTCTCGGGGACTATATCCTGGTGAGCTGGTTGACCACCCGCTCTGGTGGCAAGGTCCGGAATGGTTAGCAACGGAGAGCAGCCCGTGGATAAACAATGGATATATGAATTTCTTTTCCAATCACCCTTTTAAATATAAAATGAACACAATTTGTAATCTTGTAGATAACTCGATTCTCTTATCTAATGACCAGTTTTACGACGAGAATATTAATATCGTGAAACAGATTTTATTTAATAACTGCTTTCCTAAACATGTAATTGATTGTTGGGTTAATAAAAGGATTAATTTTTTAAAACACAGAAACATGAATGAATCGAGTAATGAGCAAAATATTGTTGATAAATCTTTTTTCATTTCACTACCTTATATTAATAGCTTAGGCGATATCGATCGAATTTTTAAAAATATTGGATTTAATGTTGTTCATAATATTCCTAAAAAACCGAATCATTTAATTACACTTGGCAAGGATAGACTGCCTACAGATAAAAAGACTGAAGTAGTTTACGAAATTAATTGTAATGATTGCAACGTGTCATACATCGGACAAACAAAGAGACATCTATGTACACGTGTAAAGGAACATTTCAGCAACATCAAAATGCATTCGAATAATTTATCAGTTATCAGCAAACATAAAATTGAATTCAATCACGATTTTAACTGGACTTCGCCGGTTATTTTGCACAGTAAAAAACACGTAAGAAAAAGAGAAATCGCTGAAATGTTTTTTATTAAGAAAAATAATAACGCTATTAATTTACAAAAGGATACCGACAATCTAAGTAATATCTACGACAAAATAATAAAGGTCGTTTAGTCTCTCATAACTCGTCTAAGAGTCTTGACGTGTTGTCAAACCGACACTATGTTCGTTCTTGACATCTTAAAATTAAAATTTTATTTTTATTTTTACAAGTATGTTTTGCTTCTTTTTATTATTTTGTAATATTGTTAAGTGAAGTAATTTTTATATTGTATTAATCTCTGTATTGTATTTCTTCTCTATGTATATCTAGATCACTTGATAAGGACTCAAATAAGGGTCGAAACGTTGTGATTGAATAAATAATATTTGCCAGTACGGTCGAGAGAAGTCTTACTTTTTTTATTATTATTATAGTTTAATATGCAAATAGTTTTGAGATGTGATAAATAAGATTATTATTAATATAACCTATTGATAAATAGGTATGCGACTAAGTTCTTTTATTTTGTTAAAGATGACATGTGAGTTGTTATATATGTGTTATTTTATAAGCTTACACTGCGATTGATTCCAATAACATTAAATATTATTTAGTCTTATATAAAGGTAAAAGGATAAGTTTCATTATTTTGAGAGATAATTATTTTTACAATTTAAATTATGTAATCAGTTAATTTTTTACTTAAACAAGAGATTTGTGATATTTATTATTGTATCTGCGGAAAGAGATGACGTATATTGTATTTGGGAAATAATAGCTATTGTCTTGTAAAAAAGATAATGAAAATGTGAAGTATGTAATGTAATGGGCGAAATAATATAAAATGTGAAGAGCGATATTTGTTATAAAGTATAAGTGAGTCATTTTCCTTGACATGCATGTTCAGTAGAATTCATTAAATAAAATAGAGTTAGATTATATTTACTTAATTGCTTTAAAATATTATATTATGCAATACTTAGAGAATTGTTTATTTCATTTTATAGTCTTTAATTTTGAAGTATGATTGAAAAGATATATTTTCTTGTTGAATATAATAAATAGTAGATATAAAGTTAAAGTCAGGTTTTATCTTGTAACTTATGAAATTTCTATAACATTGATTGGAGTCAAGAGTGGTTAAAAGTGAGGAGCGTGGCTTTGCATGCATGTTACTCGAGCGTTGCTGTTTTTCTGGAGTGTCGTGTATGCAAAACTGAGTGAGAAAAGTTGTAGATGTCATATATGCGAAAATATGATTGCGAATATTGTTAAAGTAAAGTGATTGAGCATAATAAGTATGAAAGCATGATTTACCTACGATATGATTTATAAGTTGAAAAGTCGATTATTCCTCGAGGCATGTATTATTTGAGACATGTATTAGTGAAAGCAAAGATAATATTTGTAATGGTAAATATCGAAACAGAACATATAATATTAGGACATATATTAGTTTATGGATAAATTTTGAGATGTTAAATATTGTCTTGGGTAAATCATGTTCCCCCCGAAGGTGTTCTCCCAATAGATGACATCATGCGAGCGTTGTCAGGGGAACGAGTAGGCGGGGCTTAGGGGTATATAAGTCGGAGCAAAGCGTTGTTTATGGTCAGTCTTCATCAGTCGAGCGTCAAGTTTGTAAATCGTATTCGCAGTTACGTCGCTGTACCCGGAAAAAACAGATATTTCTCGTAATAAACACAAAAAATTTTCGTGATTTTGTCGATAATACTTGGATTTCCTTGAATGAAAGAGAGACTTCGGGATAGTAATTTCAACTTAGCGGTTGAACCAAGTGCGGTGGTTAACCGACCGCGTACGAAACTTGTGTCCGTTAACGTCCTCTCGTACGAGTATCCGCGATTCCGAAATACTCTAAACTTTATAACTTATAAATTGTTGTCAGACACGCGCGTGCAACATTTGAGAACTTGAACGCCTTAGTGCTCATATAGATATATTTGATAAATAAATCATATTTTATACGGAATACGGTGTGACGGTGTTAGCTTGATTCTCCCAACGACCTATCCAGTTCTATTCTTCCATCATAGCATGGTGTAATAAAGAATTGGAGCGGTTGTCGATTGGAGGCGATGCACGGCGTTGGTCATCACATCTTGTCTTTGACCAAGTTGGTGAGGAGTGCCTATTATAACGGAGGGATCCTTGCGCACGAGAAGTACCAAACTTCCGTATTTATATTGAACTACCAATCTTGAAGCTGGTGAAGATGAAGCTTCCAATGACCGTGAAAAAGAACCTATCTTGAAGTAAGTCGTATATTCGGACATACGCAATCGTAATACATATAAAAATAATATTAATTTGCATTTTAGCAACCGAGTCATTCCTGACCGGTCACAACCTAACATTAAAACATAATATAAAAAATGCGATTGAAAACATATGGTGTGATCTCGCAAATATTTCAATGGAGAAAGCTATGTCAATTCGAAAACACAGTTACCGCCGATACAAGAAAATGGTTTAACGCAATTAAGTACGAGTCGTTCATACAAATCTTTTGCATAATTCCTCGTTGATAGGCAAAAGAAAAGATGGTTAAAGTTGCTTTATGAGTCATTATTTTGAAAAATCCGTATAGTCAAAAATTTAAAATTCGACGATTTTCGTAATAATCTGTACTGCACATATACATAAATTATTAATGCTGTGAAAATGTGTAAAAGATTCTTTTTGTGGCGTAATAAATTACTTACTTCAGTGTCAATATGTTAAACGGTAACTTAGTTAGGAATATCATAGAAATCACGAACTTTCTATATAATTACATGGTACCCCAGATAGCCAATTGATATCAGAAAGAATTCTTAAAGTTTTCTTCTTCAAGATTTGGACATCCAAAAATTGGTTTCGAAAGCCAACATAATGAGATCAGAAAGAGCTCTTATGCGTCGTATTTAGAGAAAAAAAGATTTCTTCTGACAGTCACCAAAAAGATTACTTTTTTGAGATATCTTATAAAAGAAATCAAAAAGATTACTTTTTTGAGATATCTTGTAATAAAAATCAAAAAGATTACTTTTTTGAGATATCTTGTAATAGAAATCAAAAAGATTACTTTTTTGAGATATCTCGTAATAGAAATCAAAAAGATATATTAAATTAGATCTTTTTAGAAGTTTATGTTGATGCCAATAAAACTTATTCTAAAACATTCGAGACACAAAAAATATGCCTTTGGTAAAATATTTAGCAAGATCCCCAAAGGGAGTTTTTTGATGAAAGACAAGAGACAATTAATTTTCCTTCATATTATATTCATCCTTCATTCACATATATTTCTCTTCCGAGAGTTTATTTGCTAAATATTTTACCAGGGATTTTGAATATGTTGAGAGTAAATATTGAAGCTTAAAGGAAAATTCTTATTTATATGAGAAATCTTCACAAACAAAAATATACGATAATATTATGCCCATTTAGGGGTTACTATATATACATAAACATACATACATATATATATATGTGTGTGTGTGTGTGTGTGTATTTTGAATACTTAAATACAAATATAAACTTTTTTAAACATTATATTTATATTAATATATAAAATATAATATAATATATTTTTATAATATAAAATGCTAATATGCTTTTTATGATTTTTAATTAACTATAATAATTAAAAATGATTATTGAACTTTAAATTATTTGATTAAATAAAAAAAATATTAATCTATAATAAAATAAACATTTTTAATATATATTTATAGATTAATATATATTAAATTAAGATCGTAAATATAATAAAACTTAATAGAAATAAAAATGTGAAGAAGAAAAATAAACTATTATGAAAAAAATAATAATATTAAAATAAAATATTATGAAATAGAAAAAATAATATAATTTTTATGCCAAAATTTTAAAATTATATTTGAGCGTGTTTTTTCTATATAACGAACTCGATCACTTGCATGTTGTAGGCATTTTTGAATTGTTTCTTGTACGTCAAAGATTGTACAATTACGCCCGGAATTGATCATAATCTCTGAAACAGTTTTATATTACTAATTGAGTGGCAAATTATAACATGGATATTATATAACACTTATTGTTATTATATTAGTTTGTGTTTTATTACTGCTGCATTTCAATAATTTTACTTAAAAATTTACTACAGAAAATTCATATAATTTATAAAAAATAAATAAATATAATTATTAAATTATTCTCACCTGTATATGTATATCAGGAGACGCGGTAGTGTCTCCGGCCATGTTCAAACCCTAAAAGACCTTAAAAGACACTACAAGTCTCCTTATCCTGCACCATCAAAGTCCATTTTTTGGGGGTGTAGAACTACTAAAATATAAAAAATTTTGAATTGCACGTAATATAACCTGAAAGGCGGCATCGCCACGAGTAATTTGAGCCAAGAAAAAATAAAATCGGTCAAGCCGTTCTGGAGATACAAGCGGTCAAAAAGTGACGTTTTTCATGAAAAATGAAGTAACGTCGTCTTCTTCTTCTTCTTCTTCTTCTTCTCTGTCCGCGTATAAATCTCTTCTCACCTTTCACTCACACCTCCCTCAACTTCCACCCACTCCTTTCCCTCCCACATCCGCCCCACCCCCACCCCCACCCCACTCCCACCCCAACTCCACCCTCTTTCGCCTTTTCACCCTCTTTCGTCCTCTCTCACCCTCTTTCGTCCTCTTTCACTCTCTTTCATTTCTCTCATCCTCTTTCACCCTCTTTCAATCCCTCTCACCCCATTCGTCCTCTTTCACCCTCTTTCGTTCTCTTTCACCCTCTTTCGTCCTACCTCACCTTCTTTCGTCCTCTTTCGTCCTCTTCACCCTCTTTCATTCTCTCTCACCCTCTTTCGTCCTCTCCTCACCCTCTTTCATTCTCTCTCACCCTCTTTCACCCTCTTTCGTCTTCTTTCACCCTCTTTCATTCCCTCTCACCCTCTTTCGTCCTCTTTACCCTCTTTCGTCCTCTTTCACTCTCTTTCGTCCTCTCTCCACCCTCTTTCATTCTTTCTCACCCTCTTTCGCCCTCTCTCATCTCTTTCGACCTCTTTCACACTCTTTCGTCCTCTCTCACCCTCTTTCGTCCTCTTTCACCCTCTTTCGTTCTCTTCACCCTCTTTCGACCTCTTTCGTCCTCTTTCACCCTCTTTCGTCCTCTCTCACCCTCTCTCACCTCTTTCACCCTCGTACGTCCTTTCTCACCCTTTTTCGTTCTCTTTCACCCTCTTTCGCCTATCTCGTCTTCTCTTACCCTCATTCGTCCTCTCTCACCCTATCTTCAAAAAATCATAAAAATGAAAAGGTCAAGCCATGTTCAAAAGAAGGTCCTCAAAAATTTAAACCTAGTCTGTACAATGAAAAATAATTACTCGTAATTCCAGAGTTCCAATTTGTTAATATCGAATAATGTATTTGTTTCAAGTAATGGCAGTAGAGTCAAATACATACCTACGTATATGCAGTTTTTGCTGTTAATTGTACTTGAACGAAAAAAATAATTAAATGATTTAAATATAGCACATTTTAAATCAAGAAACTTA